GTTTTATCGGCTGAAAATGTAAGAAATCTGATCCCATATATAAAGGAACACACACACACACACACACACACACACAACCTGGGTTTTTTAACCTAAGTCACTCCACGGAATCGCTAAAACATAGAGCATAGTCTGATGAAAAAAGACGCTAAAGTTTATGAAAACAAAATTTTATCGTCAAAATGCTTTATTTTTTTATGAAGAGGATAGACTATTTTTTTTTTAATTGTTTTTTAAAATTTTTCCATCTTTTTAGAATATTCTAAATTTTGATTGAAAAAAAACCTTGTTTCTCTTTGTCGCAACAAGGGGTAGTAAATAACACAGAGATAATTTTTAGCGCGTTTTTTGTATTTACACACATTAATTTGGAAAATCTTGAAAAAAATAAAAATAATTGTCAGATTTTAATGAAACTTTCAGAAACTATTCACAGATGATCGAAATTATTATAAATTTTTTTTTTTATTAAAGTCATGGCAGAAATATTTTTTTATATTTATTAACACCCCCATAACTAATTTTATGAAAAACTCTAGAAATTCGAGACCATCGGTTTTAGTGATTACAATAGTTAAAAGCACAAGGCTTTGAAGAATGCAAATCATGTATTTTTTTTTTTTTTTTTTTTTTTTGGCCAACGTACCTGAAAATCAGCTGTGAATTGTAACATACAAAACTCAATAAAACAAATATATTATTTAGTTTCAAATGCTTTTATTTGTTTTAATTTGTTTTTATGAATATGGACAATATTTTCTGGAAGCAAAAAATTTTTTGAATTTTTAATACAATTATTTCTTATTTCTTTAATTTTAAAAAGATTTTTAAAAAATGTTTAAATTGAATTTTAAATAATATTTTAACATTATTTAAATGTAACATCAACCTTTCAAAATATCCGTGTGAGATTGTCATTGTCTAGCGCTTTGAAAATTGTATAATTTGGACCAATCAGATTAGCCATGGTAATTAAGAAATGTAATTTTTGTGTTTATAGTCGGACAGTAATTATCAAGTACGGAAGACCAACCAGAATACAATTTAGTTGCATTATTTGAGTTCAGCATTGTTCTCCGCTGTTAAGCCCTTTACTTTTGCGAAACACGTATGGAGAAGTTAATTTGAGTTTTCAATTTCAACTGAGAAGGGTACCTACAAGTAACAGTATCATCTTATGAAATTTAACTACTGCTAAACTTTAATTTATATGATCTTATTTTTTATATTAATCTCAGTTATGACATTTTCCATAAATGAAATATCAAAATTAATAATAAAATGAATGGAAATACAAATAACACAGTAAAATGTAATAAATGTACATAAAATTATAGTATTTTATGTACACTTCTGATAAAATTTCATAAGAAAGGTACCTAAATTAATTAGATACCTTTTTCTTATGAAATTTAATCTCACTATTAACAGTCTTATTTTTTAATTTCTTTATATTTTTCCATAAAGCATCGTAAACGTAAAAAATGAAAGCTAAGTAAAAAAAAAAAAAAATAAAAAAAAAAATTAGAGCGCTGAAAGTTTTCCTTAAAAGTAACAAGGTAAATAATTTGTTCACTTAAATAATTTCACTTCCTTCCATCCGTAGAAAGAATTATCCTCCCGTAAGTTATTTAAACGTCATGAATGTGCCTTTCGTCAATCGTCAAGCGACGCGAAAGGTTATGACCAAATTTTGTTTTATTTTCAAATTACATTTTTTCGGCGCAGAAGCTAAGTTAAGCTTGGTTCAAAATATTTTAAATAAACAGTATAATATCTGTTTTTATTAAAATCAGTTTTGAAAAAAATGATAATTGATTTTTAAAAGAATATCAAAGTAAGATTTTCATCTTTTTTATCAAATCGAAAAAATGATTGAAAATGATTGATTATCTGTTTTTTTTTTTTACAAAAAAAAACAATATTTTTAACGAAAATTTCAGACGTGCTAGGAACGATTAAAAAGTGTAAAAAAATACCCCAAAAAATACTTTGATCTTTCCTCTTTAATAATAATATGAACATTAGACGATAAAATTTTGTTTTCGTCAAGTTCGGCGTCTTTTTCATCATGCTATGCTCTTTTGTTTACATTTTCGTGGGTGAGTTGTCCCCCTTTCATTCTCACGATGTGTCTTAATTTTGTTTTCAAATTGATTTTCTTAAAAAAAACAACTGTGTTTTTCCCATTTTCGGCGCCGTTAGAACCACCAAAAGGTAATTTTATGTAGTCCTGTGAAGTTTTGTTGAAATCGGCTAAAAAATGTAGGAAATTCGATCCAACATATAAACGTTACAGACACACACACACACAACCTGCGTTTTATAATAAGTAAGATATATATATATATATATATATATATATATATATGAGGAGGCCCGAGTGAAGTAGTAGGTAGCGACTAGGACTGAATCCATTAGTACCCTTGGGAAAGGTATGAATCCTTTTCTTCTTCCTTAAGCTATAGATAATTAGCAGGACAGGATATAGCCTTTGATGGCAACTGGTCTAGGAGAAGGACAACTCTGAATTCAAAACCTGCAGAAGGTTGTTTATGTCTCTGGATTCAGCCCTTCAAAAAGTGTTGATGGTTCTGCACAAAGTCTTCATCACTATAATCAAATAAATCATATGTGGTGGCGTCTGAAAGATGTAAACAAAAACAAAATTTCATGAACTTGCGCGTGTAAAAGAACATTAAATTCATGAATATCCTTGTGTACGTAACGAAGTAAAAAGCGGATTGAAAAAGACGAGGAACAAAATGAAAAAAATTGAAAAAGAAATGAAAATATCGTTTAAAACCACAACCCCTGAAGACTGGAAATTTTACCAAGAAACATCAATGTCGGGATAAAATTGATATTTAAAAGTTAAGTAATCTTCATATATATATATATATATATATATATATAGGTATGTATGTATGTGTGGGTATCAGTCTCTTCATGTCTATCTGTCTCAGTCTCTTCATGTCTATATACCTATCTCAGTCTCATTTATCTCTCTCTCTCTCTCTCTCTCTCTCTCTCTCTCTCTCTCTCTCTCTATCTATCTATCTATCTATCTATCTATCTATCTATCTTTGAGGCAGTTTAATGAGTCTATCTTCCCAGACCTAAACATCTTTCTGGGTGGTGAACAAATCTAAGAGTTGTTTTTTGTTGTTGTTGTTGTTGTTGTTGTTTACTTTTATTATTGTAATTCTTCTCATTAAAAGAATTTTGTAGGGTTCAAAATAAGTGGTAATCCGAAGTTATATCAATTACTGTCTGAACGTTTTCTGTCTTTCAGATCAAAACTTCCACTTCTGAAACAAGCGAACAACGTATAAACAGTACACGCTGCTATGGCACCTTCTCCATAAACGGCACATACCTTTTTTGCTTCTTGTACAACGTATTTTCCCTCTCTGGAAATAAAAAAAAGCATCAAATAACGAAAATACATATCATTTTCCAGACGAAACGTAGTGAGCATCTTACTATTCTATCGTTATTACCGCAACAAATGTTCTAATGAGTTATATTTTTAAGTTCCACCAACTCCAGGGCCTTCATAACAATGCCACTATGTTGACGGTCGCAAATCATCCCAATTCCCTTCGTATTCCTCCGATAAAGAGCAAGCTCCACTCAGACAGCTTCTTCTCCAGAACTGTTACTTTGTGGAACATACTCCCGAGAGGTTGCTTCCGTGACCACTACAATTTTAACACATTTATTCCAGGGTCAACCGATATCTATCCTACATATGCACATAATATGCAATTCTTAATTTCCCCTTCACTTACAAAAATCTTATTCAGTAACCTTCTACCTTGATTGGCCCTTGGGCCTTTTATTGGCTGAACTGAAGTAAAAAAAATTGAAGTATCAGAAATTCTAAAATCTCTTGTTGGTTCGGGGGAGAGCCTTTTAACAAGTACTCATATATATATATATATATATATATATATATATATATATATGTATGTATGTATATGTGTGTGTGTGTGTGTGTAAAAAATCATGATATATGCATGTTATAACATCACTACAAAAATTTCAATTTTGTTTCAACACTTCTGGTGTCTTATCAAGTGCAATTTTTGTAGCGATGTTATAATCTGCATATCTTATAATTTTGAATAAATATTATTTTCTCTACTTTTTTTTAAGAATAGTGTTTTTTGGTTCTTGAATTTTATTCTATCTCTACCAACCCTGTACGTGTGCTGTATATATATATATATATATATATATATATATTAAGACATTCTTATGTTTATACATTCTTTTTATAGATACATATATTTAAGTAAAGGCTCTGTTTATAATAAACAGTATTAAATAACATTTACCGGCCTAAATGTCCGAGAAATTTTCACAGAAAATATTCGTCCTCCGACAGGATTCGAACCTGTATCCTATACCGAACCGTCATTTAGCTTGACGTGCCTTTACCGATTTGACCACAGAGGCGCGTTTGGTTAGCAAGGTTGAATTTATTGTATGTAAACTTCAATCTTCCATGAATCTCTCACGTAAAGGCACTTAAAGTGCATTTACTTAAATATGTGTATCTATAAAAAGAATGTATAAACATAAAAATGTCTCAAAATAATTATCGGACATTGTCCATTTCATAATATATATATATATATATATATATATATATATATAGAAAAATTTTTCTTCATTCTGTCGGATTTATATCCATTTACATTTGCTTACATATATATATATATATACACGTGTTCCGCAGAGACACAGGGATTGTCGGGCTATGTACTTCAATCAGTTCATGCTGCGTTTTTCAACGATGAAGTACATTACAAGGTATGTGCAGCTGCAAAGAGGAATTGCTATGTTATGTGCCATCTCTCCAGTACTGTTTGTTGTCTGATGATGGAGATGATTCTGGGAGATCTGAGACCAAAGTATCGCTTCCTGCAAAATGAGGTCAAAATCCCGGTTTTATGGATGATTTAACCAGATGATAAGAAAGTAGCAAGGTTCTAGATAGACTTGCAGAGCTGATAGAGTGGAGTCAATTGGCCATCAAACCAAAGAAGAGCAGGTCCCTGTCTATGAAGGGAGGTTCTGTCATTCATGAAGTCTTTTCCATTGCAGGTGAAAAGATACCGGCAGTGTGGGAGCAAAGAGTGAAGAATCTTGGGAGGTGGTATAACTTCCCTGTGACAGATCGTCATCGTGGGATTGAAATCCAGCGACAAGCGATGAGTCTGCGAAGTATAGACCAATATGGGCTTTCGGGGAAATTTAAAATTGGTTCATGCTTTTTGGGTTGACTAATGAGGCCGCTGACTATATCTGAGGTTGCATTGTCTCGAGTTGAGATAATTGAGAGGAAAATTAGTAAACGCATATGGAAGTGGCTTGATGTTGCAAGGATTCTGTCGTCGGTCGCTTTGTATGGCAGCTCGTGGAGGCAGGGTCAGTTTTCTGTTTTTTCTTTGGGGGAGGAGTACAAGGTGGAAAAGGTGATATTTGCAGTCCATGCGGTGTGATTCTAGAGATGCTGTAGTCCGGAAGAATGTGCCGGACGTGAAGACAGAAAGAAAGTGGAAAGTGTCAGACGTGATGTCAGCAGTGCAAGTGATGCTAAAGCAGGTAAAAGTTCAAGGTGTCACAAAGAAGGGACGTGCTGGACTTGGTCTAGTTGAGAGGGAGAGATTCTGGTCAGAGGCCAGTAGACAGGAGCAACGTAAGTTACAGGAACAGGCGGTTCGGAAGCTCGAGTAGGAAATACGTTTGGTGCCGACTGTCTAACAGGCTCAGCAGGGTCGATGGCTCAACTGAGAGGGTATTGAGGGTGTTCAGATCAGTTAGTCTGATTGGTGGCGTCTCAGCGCAGGTTCCTCATACAAGCAGTATATGATATGGTAGCATCACCGGCAAATTTGCAGAGATGTGGAGTGCAGGAGTCACCCTCCTGTCGGTTGTGTGGTGCTTATGGAAACCTGAGCCACATACTGTCATCCCGCACGAAGGCGTTACAGAACAGCTGGTACACCTTCAGATATAACTTGGTTCTGGAGGTCGTGGCAACAGCTGTGAGAAGTGCTAGTATACCCTCGTCGGACCTGCGAAGGGTTGCTTTCCTGGAGCAAAGTGTGACTGACCCGAGGCAGAAGACCAGGTCGGAGGTCTCAAGGAAGTGGAGAGTGTTGGTTGATGCTACACTGCCAGTGGAGGTTATTGTGTCTGGACTGAGATCAGATCTTGTGTTAATTGATAGCGAGAAGTAACATCTGTTGCTTGGCGAACTGACAGTGGCATGGGAAGAAAGATTTGAAAAGGCTCATGAAAGAAAGCTGCTTCGGTATGAGGAACTGGTGGCTGAAGTCTGTGAAAGAGGATACAGCTGCACCCTGGTGCTGTTTAGGGTTGGCTGTAGAGGATTTCCTGCTGCTTCCTTAAAGAGATTCCTCAAGCGTGCTGGTATTCAAAAGCCGAATAAGGTGATAAAGATTTGTGGCGAAAAAGCGGTGGAAGGCAGTGCATGGATTGCCCAGAAATTCGTATCGAGTCGCATCCAGCTAACAACATAGACCATAATGCAACGTAACATTATACAGTTGTTGCGGTCCCACCGTACTGAGCTTAATGGACCGAAACTTTGCTGAAGCATGGCACTCAGCTGAAGATTGCAGCTGGGCTGGAGCACTTGATGTGCACATGTGTTTTATATATATATATATATTTGTTACAGTTTTTTGGATATAACTATGTACTAGTGAGCCAACCAAAATGAGCTGACTCATTTTATAGTCCACCAAGAGAAGGGTTAACCAATCAGAAAGCTCAAAATATTCAATGCGACGTGTATAAAGGCAGCCATTTTGTTTTTTCTCCCCAAAATATCTTCACTGGCAACCTGATATCGAAGACTTCAAGAATTACTTAACAGCTGCTACTTTCTCCGAATCTTCACTGCCAACCTCTGATGTTGAACAGATTACAGACTTCACTGGATTTCATATTCAGAGACTATGGCACACGTCGTCAACATTGGTTACGGACCCGGGTTACGACTGTATTTTTACGGAAACGAAACCAAGTACGAATTATGGGAAATCAAATTCTTAGGCTACCTTAGAATACAAAAACTTCATGACATCATTCTTTGCCAAGATGACCAGAAAGAAGATGATGATTTTATGGAAAGAAATGCGACCGTGTTCGCCGAATTAATACAATGCTTGGATGACAGGAGTTTGTCTTTGATAATGAGAGAAGCCAGGGACAATGGATGACGAGCTCTACAAATTTTGCGAGAACACTATTTGTCAAAAGGTAAGCCTAAAATTATTGCTTTATATACTGAACTAACCGCGTTAAGGAGGCGAGAAAATGAATCTGTAACAGATTATTTTATACGAGCTGAGAATGTCACAAATGCCTTAAAAATGGCAGGTGAGACATTCAGATGGGCTGCTAATAGCCATGGTCTTAAATGGTTTACCACCGACATTCAAACCATTCACGACAGTCATGACTCAAAAAGATAAAAATTAACATTCACTGAGTTTAAAATTGCGTTACGTAGTTATATGAAGAAACTGAAAAAACGTGTAGAAAAAATCAAGGAAATAACGTAATGCAACTGAGAACGTCATTTAAAAAACTCAGAAAACCAGTCCCTCAAACCTATCAGACTAGGAATTATGATATTAAAAACAAGGGGCTTAAAAACAATTGTTACAATAATACCAACAACAACTGGAACAATAATAATAGAAAAAGAAATATCATCTGCTTTCGTTGTAGAAAAGCCGGCCATGTACGTACAAAATGTCAATTTTATACAAAAAATGACTTTTGTAAAAATGTAAAAACTTTTTCGAATGAGCGAACATATGCCTTTTCGTTTGGGTTGGATACTACACCCTATAGTTATAATTCTTACTTAGTCGATACGGGTGCGACAAATCATGTAATTACAGATGAAACAAAATTCATTAATTTTGACCCCAACTTTGAGCCTGATTCCCATTTTATCGAGTTAGCTGACGGGACCAGAGCTAATAATTTAGTTTTAAAAGGAGGCGATGCCTGTATTTATTTACGAGATACTAAAGGAAATATTTGTAAATGTTTATTAAAAAGGGTTTTATATATTCCTCATTTTAAACAAAATATTTTCTCGGTTCAGTCTGTTGTTAGAACTGGTGGTAAAGTTAATTTTCACCGAAACAATTTAAAGTTAATATACCCAGACGGAACTGAATTTAATATATAACAAAATGGACGTTTTTATTATTTGAAAGTATTAAGTCTGTGAAGACAGCCACGCACGACTTAAGGACTTGGCATAAAATATTAAGCCACTGTAATAATTCGGATGTTAAAAGATTGCAAGAACACGTCACTGGAATGAAAATTACATTTCCAAAGGGCTTACAATATTGTGACACATGGATTAAAGGGAAAATGACGAAATATAGAAATAGGGGTCAGATCCCAAAATCAACAGATATCTTGTTTAGAGTTTATTGCGACTTAGTGGGTCCAATTTCACCAATGGGTATCGGCACCTATTCATATGTATTAAACTTTGTTGACGAATATTCAGGACTTATTATGATATATTTTCTGAAAAACAAATCTGATACCCTACAAGCTACAAAAATCTATTTATCCGATATCTCCCCGTATGGAAAAGTAAAAATAATTAGAATAGATAATAGTAGAGAATTTACTTCTGATGCTTACGAAAACCTCCTAATAAATGAAGAAATAAGTAGAAAACCCGTTCAAAATCCACAATCAGAGGAAGGTGTTATACCAGATGATGTAGACGAGGAAAAATCAGACGCAAAACTTGAGTTAAAAGAAAATACAACCGATGAAGGGGAACAAATTCCGCGTTATCCGACCAGAAATAGAAGAAAGCCAGACTATTTTGGAATGGGCCAATGTAATGTCCGTGACATTGACTGTTGCTATTCGGTACAATGTATCCCGAAGAACTATCAAGAAGCTATAAATTCTGACAATTCCAAACGTTGGATAGCGGCCATGCAAAAAAAATTTAATCTTTAGTATCAAACGATACTTTTCAATTGAAAAAGGCCCCGGATGATAAAAATACTATCGGCAGTCGTTGGATTTATACTGTAAAGCGAACTGAGGATGGATCGCCAGTGTATAAGGCTCGTTTTGTAGCTAAAGGATTTTCGCAGATATACGGGGAAGATTATGTAGAAACATTCAGTCCAACAACAAACATGACAGCAATTAGAATTTTGATGCAAATGGCCGCACATTATGGTATGGATATACACCATATGGATGTTAAAGCAGCTTATTTGAATGCTGCGATTGACTATGAAATATACATAGAACCGCCAGAAGGTTTTGAAAACGGTGATAATTATGTATGGAAACTCAAAAAGTCACTATATGAACTCAAACGGAGCGGAAGAACGTGGAATAAATTAATCTATTCCTATTTAATTGAACAACAATTTGAATCCTCCCAAGTTGACACATGTACACAAGAATATTTAATAATGAAATATTAGTAATTCTGATTATTTGGGTCGACGACATGTTAATTGCTTCAAAATGTGAAGCTGCTCTATTAAAAATTAAAATTTCCTTAAATATAAGGTTTAAAATGACCGACTTGGGTCGACTATCATGGTTTCTTGGTATACAGTTCGAATTTAAGGGTAACACTATTACAATGAATCAATCTAGATACATCAAGAAGCTCTTATCTAAATTCAGCATGCAAAATTATAAAACAAAAAAACTACTCCATGTGAAATGGATTTAAACATAATTATGAATAATGAAGATGGTATAGCGGCGTGTGAGAAAGAACACAGAACATTGGTCGGAAGTCTTATTTTCATGATGACATCAACCAGGCCAGATATCTGCTATAAGGTTACTAAGTTCTCCCAAAACTTAAATAAACCGGGGACTGTGCATTTAACAAGAGCTAAGTAAGTATTACGTTATCTAAAGGGTACTAAGAATCGGTACCTGGTATTTCGACGATCAGAAAAACCATTACAACTGGAAGGATTTTGTGATGCTGATTGGGCAAATTCACTTGATCGTAAAAGCATAACAGGCTATTGCTTTAGATTGGCAAAAGATAATCCAATGATTATCTGGAAATCTAAGAAACAGGGAATGATTTCACTTTCTACTTGTGAGGCGGAATATATTGCATTGTCGCAAGCAACACAAGAGGCTATTTTTCTTAAATTACTAATAAAAACAATTACAACACTGATAATAAGTGAGCCTGTAATTATTTACTGCGACAATCAGGCCAGTATTGCTTTGGCTAGAAATCCAATAATACATCAAAGATCAAAGCATATCGATATTAAATATCAATTTGTAAGGGATCTGGTACAAAAGAAAACAGTACAAATTGAATATGTTCAATCGGAAAATAACGTGTCGGATTTATTTACAAAGCCAATTACAAAATTGAAATTAGGGTCTTTCATTCCTGTCATATTTGGTACTGACCTCTAAGGTCCTTATTAGTCCTGAGCAAGACGTAAAACTGCATCCATTAAGTCCCTATAAGGTCCTTATTAGTCCTGGGTAGGACGTAAAACTGCATCCATTAGTTATTGTCTTAAGAAACGTCAGTTTTTGGTATGAATGTAAATCCTTAGTTTCGGGGTATAAACGTAAATAGTCCTACTTTTAGCCCAATCCTCCTTTGAATGACTCTCAGGATCACTCTGACCCGGAGTGATAGTGACTGTTGTAATGGGTCCCAGCTATCGGTAAAATAACAATTTTTTCCACTTATTTTGTTGTGATCACAACCCAAATTTATAATATTGTTGTTAATGTTTATTAACCTGAAGAAATTAACTGTGGACAAAATGATATAACTCATTTTTGTGGATATTAATTTTCTTTATTAAAAAAAAATATATTTTATGAAAAGAAAAAAAATTATTTTATGAATACTAAAATAAAATAAAAAAAATTTCTGAATACTAAAGTATTTGCTCCATATGAATATTGACTTTACTAATATTTTGGAAGAAGATTCCATAATATAGCCAAAAATGAGGGGGTGTTACATTTTTTGGATATATCTATGTACTAATGAGCTGACCAAAATGAGCTGACTCATTTTATAGTCCACCAAGAGAAGTGTTAACCTATCAGAAAGCTCAAAATATTCAAGTCGACGTGTATTAAGTCAGCCATTTTGTTTTTCTCCCAAAATATCTTCACTGCCAATCTGATATCGAAGACGTAAAGAATTAGCAGCCGCTACTTTCTCCGAATCTTCACTGCCAACCTCTGATATTGAACAGATTACGGACTTCACTGGATTCCATATTCAGAGACTACGGCAAACATGGTCAACAATATTTAAAACCTTGACAAAGTTGATAGGCGTTTATATGGCTTTGTGGGTGATGAAACCTTGTCGCGCAAACGAAAGCCTATATATATATATATATATATATATATATATAGTCTTCCACAAACAGACGGTTTTGCTGTATCACAGCTCGTTAGTATGGCTAGTCACCCGACTGCTTCAAAAGCCGGGATCGAAACCCGACCGATTTGGCATCAGTCAGAGATTCTACGCGCAAGCTATCGTCGCACGGCAGAGAGTAAGGGAAAATTTAAGGTTTTTAATATATGAAAGACGTCAGTGGTTAGGAGAGCTCGATTCTAGTTGAAGAGCATTGCACTAGCAGCAGATAGATAGATAGATAGATAGATAGATAGATAGATAGATAGATAGATAGATAGATAGATAGATAGGTACATCTAATAATTAGCTGAAAAAAGAGCATACCATGATGAAAAGACTTCAAACTTGGCAAAAACAAAATTTCATGTTTTTGTTATTTATAAGAGGAAATAAGACCAAAGTGTCTTTTGATTATTTTATTAATTTTTTCATCTTTTCTAGCACGTTCAAAATTTTGTTAAATATCTTGTTTTTCTTGTCAACACGTGGGCGAGAGATTTTTAAAGGGGTTTTTAGCGTCTTTTGATTTGGGCGTTAAAAACACATTGTTTTGGAAATTCTTGCAAAAATCAAATAATTATCAGATTTTCAAGAAACATTCACGATTTATTCATAAATTAATTAAATTATTTCAGAACTTTGTTTTTAGAAAATTTTGGCAAAAATATTATTTTGTTACATCTGTTATCTCCCCACACACCTTTACTTAATGAAATTTCCAGAAATTAAATTTTGTCCAGCTTCATATTTATATTAGTTAAAAGCAGGACTCCTTGGAGATTGTAAATCTTTTTTTTTTTTTTAAGCTCTTACTCATTTATCGAAAATCTGTTCTGAATCGTAAAATAAAAAATGCAATCAAACTAAGACATTGTTAATTAGAAAAGCTTTCAATTGATTTTATGAATAAGATGTAATAAGGACACTATAGTCTTAAGAAAAAAAATTTTCGATTAACTTTTACAAAAGTTTTCTTTTCATTCTAAATTTAATTAGAATATATTATAAAGTTTTAAATCTTTTAAAGCTTCTCTTTCTTCTTTTTATGTACCATGTCTTTTCAGGACGTAGGCGATCATGGCTCTCCACCTCCCTCTATCCCTTGCAGCTCTCAACAAGTTCCTTCTCTCTGCTTCCTCCCACAGACCACGTTCGGTCATCCACTTGCTTAAGTCTGCCCGGTATGCCACGTGTTCTTTTCCTTTGTCTCCCTTTCCCTCTATTCGACCTGTGAGTATCAGATTCTCCAGGCCCTCCCTCCTCATTATATGTCCCAGAAACTTCAGCTGCCTCTTCCTGATAATAAGTATAAGCCTCCTCCTTGTTTGCAACCTCTCTAAGACCACATCGTTGCTCACACGCTCGGTCCATGATAACCTAAGCATCCTTCTGTAGAACCATATCTCTGTCGCCTCGAGTCTCTTCTTCATCTTTGAGGAAATCGTCCAACATTCGCTGCCGTAAAGAAGGACAGATGTCACGTAACAGTTCAGTATTCTTTTCTTTGTTACCAAAGAAATCCTCCTGTCTCGCAATTTCTGCCAATAGTCTTTTGGAATGTGTCCTTGGCCATCCCAATACGTCTACGGATCTCAGTGTCGCACTTATTTCGTCCTCTGTCAAAACGCTTCCCAGATATTTAAACTTCCGCGTCTGCTTGATTCTAGTGTTCTAGACCTTCAAATCGCATTTCAGGCTCATCCTTTTACTGATGACCATGCATTCTGTTTTCTTGTAGTTTATGCTTAGTCCTTTCTTCTCACTCTCCGTCGCTATTTCTGTAGGAGATTTTGTAATTTTTTCATTGTCTGCTATCAGTACTGTGTCATCTGCGTATCTTATGTTGTTAAAGATTGCATGGCTGCCAATGCTAAATCCCGGTAGGGTTTCAATTCTTCAGAATTGCCTCGCTGTATAGGTTGAACAGGTCGGAAAGAAGATGCATCATCTTGCCTTTACTTTTTTTCTATTTTTTTGTATATTCACTGAACTCGTTCCTAGACACATGCACTGTTGTTTGCTGCCAGTATAGGTTCTTGATTATTCTGATATCAAATATGAATATATCAAAGTTGCTGAACAGTTCCATCAGATCCTTGTGGCGTAAAAAAAAAAAGGCATTAAGCGTAGTCTATGAAACATAGGATTAAACGTCCTTTGCAAAATGTGTATCACTCTTTCTAATAAATATTTTAAGTATGAATATCGCGTTTTTTTGTTCAAGTATCTTTAACGAAATAATTGTTGTTCTTAAATCCTATCTGAATTTTGATGATTTTTGCGTGCTCTAAATTCATTAGAATACGGATGATGAGTTTTATTTACGTACAGCTCAAAGGCTTATTGTTCGGTGGTGTTCGCATTCGTTTGACCTAAATTTTTTTTTTTAGGCATAGCTATGAAGATAGATTTGATGAGTAGTTTTCGGTATATATATTAGTTGTTTAAATTTCATTATTTATTTCAGTGATCTGGTCTATGCACAAAGTCATCTAAGTCTGTCAGCATTTCCGTTACAATTCCGTCTGAATAAAGATCAATTTTTGTTTCTGTTCAATTTTGCCGGTGCGGCTTTTTTTTTTGGTTTTCAAAATTCCATGTCCGTCATATTAGTTAAAATAAAATATAAAAAATAAAATTTTTAAAACATTTTGGAAATTTTCCAATGTACTCTCTTCAGAGTTGAATTTTTTTTTTCTCTAATATAAGTGTTCCATCCTTTGATTTTAGGCATCCTTTTGATGAGCATGTCTTCTGTCCTGTTAGTTGTCTTATTTGTTTAACATTGCATGTTTTTGTTGGTAGTATATTAATCTTTCTATTTCTGCAAATTTTTGTTTAGCCATTTTCTTTAGCTTGCCTGCATTTGGTAAAAATTGATCATTGTTTATAATTTTATTTATTCCATTCCGCATAATTGGCCGATTTTTTATGTTTCTTTTCCATCATAATCAAATCTCATTTAATCAGTCAAATATCTGGAAACTTTTCTCCTTCTTCGTCTTTAAATATTTTTATGATAGATAAATAAATATTATTAATAATATATAAATATAATGATATAAATAAAAAGCTTATTACAAATTTTTAAACAAACAAAATATTTTTATAAAAAGAATTTTTTTTTTTTTTATGTATAAAATAAATGAATATTAAATTTTTTATAAAACATTAAAATAGAATTTTAAAAAAAAAAAAAATTTCAATAAATTATGAAAACAAAAAAAACTAAAAAACAAAAAATAAAAAATTGAAAAAAAAAATTATTTTTTTGAATGATTTTTTGTTTATAATTACTGAATATTAAAAAAATATATATAAAAGAAATTATCTTTACGTTAATTCAAATTTTTTAATAACGAAAAATAAATCCAATTAGAACAATATTAGATAAATGAAATCTGTCAAAGATTTTTGTCAAACCCAAGCGAATTAATTTAAATAAAGCTGATGTCTGTTTGAAAAAAAATTAATTTTTGATGTTTTGAATTTTTAAATTTAAAGAAAAAATATTTTGTTTCAGATAATTTAATTATATATAAAAATCAGCTAAATATTAAATAAAAAATTGAAAAGTTTCAGATTATATTTTATTTTTGAAGATGTTTAAATAAACCAGTTTTTAACATTGCGATGAAAAAGAAAATAAAAAAAAAGGGTGCTAATCAGCTATTTTAGCAGAAGAAAAAAAAAAATAACATTTCCAGTCAATTTAAATAAGTTTTAATTAAATAAATAAAAAAAAAAATTTTATTTTTTATTTAAATATTAAATTAAATTATTTAGGTTTAATTAAAAAATTAAAAATATCATATAAATGAAAAATTTTTTTAAATTTATTTTAAAATATATATATAAGTTTTTTTTTTGTTGTTTATATTTCAAAATGATATTTTTTAAAACAAATTTCGTAAACAGACCTTGCAAAAAATAATCTCCATCCACTAGAAAGGGGCATATCCAATAAAATATAAAATTTTAATAAATCAACGATGCATCCAATCAATCCATTTTATTTAATATTTTGAAAATATAATAAAAAAATATTACATAATAAAAAAAAACTTACTAAAAATTATTAAAATTTTTTTTCCCAAGAAGATTTTAGAAGTCATTTAGCCATTTCTTGATATCATTTTTTTAAATAAAATCACTAAATATACTAAAGAATTATATGAAAAAAAAAAAAATTTTTTTATGATCAGACCCACGATGTCTTCCAAACTGAGCAATTAAGATGAAAATCAAAATAAAAATGATGAAAGGCCTTCAATAGAACCTAATTTTTGGTCAAAAACTTTCATACTTTTGATTTCCATCTTCAAAGTCCATTCAAGAACCATTATTAAGAGAACGTTGAATACATTTTATAAAATTTTTATATATCATTAAAAAATATATATTTATATATCATCATTTAACTTATATCTAATGGATAAAATAAAAAGATCATTTAAAAAAAATATATATTTCCATTGTATTACGTTTAAACCAAAAATGAATGTGTTTGAAAAAAAAAAAAATCGGATGTGAAATTAAGGTATTGAAATTTTTTGTTAATTTTAAGGACAAAAAAGAAGGTCAGAAAAATCCTTAAAAAAAATCATTTGAAAAATATTTTTGCAAAATGATTATGTTTGAAAAATATATTATATATATATATATATATATATATAATCATTTATTTTAAAAATAAAAAAATCAATTTTTTTTTTAAGAAAAATTAAGTATATATTATCAAAACAATATAATTATATGAATTAAAACCACATTTAAGAATAAGTTCTGTTTTATCTATATAAAAATTTTTATAAATAAATATATTTCTAAAATTTACGTGTTTTAATAGCATAATTCATTATTGAAATCATTTTGATATGGTAATGGCTAAAACAATTGTTTAAATAGTTTTAAAATGTATAAAATAAATCTTACATTAACATTATTTCAGTTAAAACAGAGTGTAAACTTTTTAAGTCTAAATTTAAAAAAAAAGAAAATTTCGCCTAGTCTGGTTTACTGTGTCTTGGAGATTTTTTTTTTTTTTTTTGAAAGAATTTTTTTTTACAAAAAATAAAAAAATATTAACATTTGTTTTTTGTCGATTTCAAATAAAGGGTTATCTTTTTTTAGGGCATTTTAAACTATTTATTAAAAAACTAACTAATTTTTTAAATATTATTTTTATTGTTTGTTTATATTTATCTAATTATTCAATGCAAAAATTTTGAATCAAAAAAAAATTTTAACTCATGTATTATTGTTTAAAATATTTTTATTATTAAAAAACTTAATA